CTATAACAAAATATTGACAAAGCTGCCCCATTTTTAATATTTTACAGATACTGTAAATGAGAATGAAGCAAAAAAATATTTTCTTCTATCCCTTAAGTTTCTATTTTAAACCACTGTATGGTGTCAGAAGCAACATCCTGGTGTTCTTTTCCTAGTCCTGGCTGTTGCTCATAAAGTACACACATGCTTACGGGAATCCAGCTACTCCATGAATGCTTCCTGCCCAACCACTGTTATTTTCTATGACTAAAACCCTGAAGAAAGTGCTGCTTCTATTAATGAATTCCCTTTATATAATATGTATTTGAAAATAACAGCAGAAGCTACCTGACACACATGAGGACTCATTCATTTCAGAAATGTGTCATGTTTTCAGTGTTCACTCATTAGTAGGACAGAATATTGGTGGAAGGAACTCTGGAAAACTCAGTGCCAGTTGAAAATCGGCAGTTAGTTCCTTCCAGCTGTTTTTTTTTTTTTTTTTTTTTTTTTTTTTTTTCAGAACCGGGGATTGAACTCAGATCTTTGAGCTTGCCAGGGAAGTACTTATTCTACTGAGTCATCTCCCTGGCCCCTGAAATTTCTTTCTTTCTTTCTCTTTCTTTTTTTTTTTTTTTGGAACCAGGGATTGAACTCAGGCCTTTGTACTTGCCAGGGAAGCACTTATTCCACTGAGCTATCTCCCCGGCCCCCTTTCAGCTGTTTTTAAAGGTATTCTTTTTGTAGAGACTTAAAAGTGGCTTATTGATATAGCTTAAAATTTTTGATGTTTAGCTGTTTCTCTTTTGGTTCTTCCTATGGAGAAAATAAAATGTTTTTCTAAAACTGAAGTGGTTATGAAGTTTTGCACAGTTAAATCTAAATAAATGGTTACTATAGTCAATATCTGCTAATGTCAGTGGGAGGAAAGTCACCATCTATGGGGCATACAACTAAATTAATCAGTGTTACAGTTTTGCCTTTCAGATAGCTGTGGGAGCACCAGGTAGACAGATGCCCCAAGAGAATGAAGGCTACTAAGCCCTTGGACTGATTTCATGTTTCAGTCCTTTACATGATCTTTAGAAACTATTTTTTTAAGGCCTTTCTTGTCCTGTGAAGTATACCTATGCTGAAGGAAAAATACTTTGAGATTGAAACTGTATCTATAAAATCATTTTTTCTGTATAGGTCAGTCTGGTTTTCAAAAGAGGTGTGTGTGTGTGTGTGTGTGTGTGTGTGTGTGTGGTGTGGTGTTAGGTATTGAACACAGGGCCTTACAGATGCTAGGAAAGTATTCTAGCACTGAGCTATATTCTCATCCCTTTTTAATTTTATTTTTTAGGCAGGATCTTGCTAAATTGTTCAGGCTGACCTTGAACTTCCAATCCTTCCACATCATAGCTGTAATTATAAGCACACACTATCATGCTGTGCCAAAAAGAGATTGTTGTTATTGATCATCCCTGTTATTTTAGAGGATTCAATGGGTTATCATTTAAAAGGGAACAGATAATATGGAAGTACAGGAAATAAAAATATTGGGGAATACTGCATGTTTTCCTCAGTTTACTATACCTGAGGTGAAATGTGACATTTTTTTTTTAAATTTTTTTTTTTATTTATGAGAGAGAGAGAGGGGTGTGTTGGTGTGTGTGCGCGGCCAGCTCAGCCCACCAGGGGGCGGGGCTGGCTGGCATGTGGTGCTGGGGGATTGAACCGCGGTCCCTGATGCTTTGCTAAGCTTGTTCTAAGTAGGCGCTTTGGACCACTGAGCCATCTCTCCAGCCCCGAAATGTGACATTTTTAACGGTGCTTTCTTCTAGAAAAAAATTGATCTCATAAAGTATGCAAATTATAATAGCAATTATACCTATTATTAAAAGGTTTCTTGATTTTCAAAATATGTAGATATTATAAAAACCGTAATGATGCATATTATTCAGTGTTCAGGAAATTTTATCCATCCATCACAGAGGCAAAATATTCCTATTCATCTCATACATGGAATTAAAATTAGAGTTTCTGGGCACTGTAATGAAATCCTGAGTCAAAATAAAGTTTTAGGAAGCCTGGGGACTGTAGTTCAGTGGCACAGTACTTATCTGGCTTGCACAGGTGCTGACAGAAAAAAAGAAGAAATTATTGAGAAAGGAAGACTGTTAATTATCTTATAGTTTTTATCAGATATGCAGGAATACATATCATATTGTCTTTCTGATGTGAAAAAGCTGAAAGAATAAATAACATCCAAAATGTACAATGGATACTGCAAAATGGGAAGAAACTTCAAAAGAGAAACAGAGATGGGGAGTGGAGAAAAGAAAGAAGAGAAAAGCAATATATGCATACGTAGATACATAATTTATATATTATATATAAAAGAAAGTTAAGATCATTATACCACTAATTTCTCTTGGTTCATTGAAAAGAAAGGTTTGTTCTAATATTGTTTGGACAATTATCTTGTACTCTGAGTAGCTAATTTGAAAATAATAATACACAATGTATTAACCATTGTTACTCTATTATCTTGTTTTGAAATTTTTGTTTTTTCTCTTTAAAAGAATTATCTTTAAAAAAAGAATTATCTTATAGTTTTTACCTGAATTAGAGAAAAATAATTTTTTTTAATTCATTGCACTGTGTAGTTCCTGACAAAGCTTATTTAAAAGATAGGATTAAGCTTTGGAACATCAGTTACATAGTTTTTAAAAATGAGTATACTTGAACTTTTTAAAGTTTATAGTCAAAATGGATTTTTTTGACTGTTTACCACTCTTCATTAATCTCTCTTATTATACAAATGCATGTACTATAGTAGTTTAGTTTCTGAAATCACATAGATAATAATACTTATTACTTCAAATTTATCCTTTTAGTGATTTAGGTGTGGACTTTTGTTTTTCCTTTTTCTTTTGTGGTGCTTATGAATATTTTTCGGTTTCAGTCCACCGAATATTGTAACAAATATATTCTAGTTGCTATAGTCTAAAACAGCGCTTAGAAATGTTTATGCTTGGTGTCATTTCTATGATTACCTTGATGACATTTTCTGAGTTTGATTTTTCATTACCTAGCTATGTACCTTTCGGAGATGGATATACTGATTTTCCTAATTACCAGTCTATGTACTTGAGATGGTGTATTTATTTGCTACTTCTAAAGAACTGAATAGCACAGCCTCTGTAAGTGATGGGCTGCTATGTTATCATATAAATGCTCAAGGTACAGCTTCTAATGTTGAAAAATAGGAAAATAAATTGACCTTGATTAAGTGTGTCTTCTTTTGTCTGTTCCCAGGAAAGTTTATTTCAGGTATTTCTACTGCTGAAATGATTAGCGTTAACAGCTTTTCCCCTCCATTTTATTTTACAGGGTCTCTTCATCTTCCTGATATATGGGGTGTACAACACAGAGGTAAGTCTGCATGGAGTATCTCAAGGCTGACAGAGTGAATGAGAGAAATGACAGGTTTCTTATCTTGATAACTGAGGAACAGAGTTGGCTTTTCATAGGAGTGCCCTACTGCCCTTCATGCTTGGACTAGCTTATATGCATCTCAACTTACTATTAAACACTGACACCCTGAATAAAGGGACAGCCTCATTTCTCACAGGCATTGACTAATATTTTACTACTGCCTGAAGTTTTGAATTTGCAGTCTTTAATACTCAGCTACACTTGACATATTAAAGTTTCAGTTTAAATAGTGAAATGCTTATATATAGTTGCATGGGGTTAGAAAAGTACAATTTTCTCTTATCTCAAAAGTGCTCAATAAATATTTTCTGTTAACTTCCTCAGGCAGGCTCTGAGAGCTAAATGCTAGTAAATAATCTTCATGGCTTCAATTGTGAAATATCTCAGAGGTTATTAATTATGAGAAGTTACTTAGAGAAATAGTATGAGAAAATAGACATGCAATTTCATTTAAATACACTATGCAAATTATTGGCATAGTCTTGTTCTTTTATTGAAACGTTTTGTGATTTATAAATATCTTTAGGAAAGTTGCTGGTTTAGATTTGTGTGCTTAATGTGAAAACCAGCACCTTGTCTACATTAAGCACTAAATAAATACTTGTTTGGTTTTGTTGATGTAACTTTGCAAGGTTTTACTTTTACAACTTTCCCTTGATAGAAAAATTTGTAAGGAAAGAATGGATTCTAGTAGAGATCTTAGAAGGGCCTGGTGGTCAGTTTTTCACAAATAATTTAAGAGGCAGCAATACAACGGTGGCCAACAGACTCATTAGCCAGCCTGGGAAGGTATGTGGGCATTTAAATAGCATCTGAGGATGATGAAGTGTGTGTGTGGGCGTGTTTTACAAGTCTACTGCACCTGGATCACACGCGGTTTCCCTTTCCAGTAGCCTTCAGGTAGGTTGGCAGTAGGACAATTTTTTTTTTTTTCCTCTTTTTTGCAACGGTACCTTTCTTGCGGTTTCAGAGTGAGTTCCTTCTCTAAATGCAAAGATACACATTCTTAGTGCTTCCAAGCTATAAAGGATAACAGAAGTATCTATAATGCTGGGCATTTTAACTTTCATTCTTTTAGACAGAAATAAAAGTGCCCAAATGATCCACTTGTGAGTTTGGGTTTCATTTAACACCTGGATTGTAAATCTTAATGAAGAAGCCCTCAGCGTGCAGCCCTCAGTTTCCCTCGTCTCCTTCAACCCCTTCCTCTGCAGCTTCACGCCACGCTGCAATACGGTCTCCCCGCCTCCCCGACCCACTTCCCGTCTCTTGGGTCACATCTCCTCAGCGGCTCTCCCCCAGAAGCCCTCGACTACTTTCATCGCCTGGGTGCAGGCCACCAATCACATCGATTCTCCTCGGAAGCCCCTGTTCCGTACCGTGCCAAATCCCCGCCCCACCTACCCGGGCGCCCCCCCAACTCCGCCCAACGGCCCCTGTGATTGACAGGCAGGCCGGGCGGAAACTGCGGCGCAGGCGCCCTGACTTCTCCGAGCTCCCTCTGGCCAGGTCGAATAGTTCCCAGCAGGCACCGCGCCGCGGCTGCGCAGTAGAGAGGAGGCTTTTAATTCCATTGTGGAGAGGACGGCGTTATTTTTATTAACTGGAGGCGACGGCGGCGACGGCGGCGGCGGGACCCGTAAGTGTTGCCGGCGGGTCTGGAAGGGAGAGGGCGAGGCCCAGGGAAGACTCGCGCAGCTCTGTGTGCCGGTGCCGGAGGCGACGGGGCTGGGAATAAGTGCTGGGCGCGTTGCGGTCTGGGCGGCGGCGCGGCGGGGTCCTGAGCGCTGCCGTGGTCCCGGCCCGGGGCCCGGTTCCACCACCTAGCCTTCCTCCCCCCTCTTTCCCCTCCTCTCCTCAGCCAGGCCTCCTCCGGGGTATGAAAATCGGCAGCGGGTTCCTGAGTGGCGGCGGCGGTACCGGCAGTAGCGGCGGTAGCGGCCCCGGCTGCGGCGGTAGCGGCCCCGGCGGCGGCGGCGGCAGGAGAGCCGAGATGGAGCCCACCTTCCCCCAGGGTATGGTTATGTTCAACCACCGGCTTCCCCCGGTCACCAGCTTCACCCGGCCTGCGGGGTCGGCCGCCCCTCCCCCGCAGTGCGTGTTATCCTCCTCTACCTCCGCAGCCCCGGCCGCTGAGCCCCCCCCTCCGCCAGCCCCGGACATGACTTTCAAGAAGGAGCCGGCGGCGTCAGCCGCGGCCTTCCCTTCTCAGAGGACCTCCTGGGGATTCTTGCAGTCTTTGGTTAGCATTAAGCAGGAGAAACCCACAGATCCTGAGGAGCAGCAGTCCCACCACCACCATCACCACCACCACTATGGGGGGCTGTTCGCTGGGGCTGAAGAAAGATCTCCAGGCCTAGGAGGCGGGGAAGGGGGGAGCCACGGCGTCATCCAGGACCTCAGTATTCTCCACCAGCATGTCCAACAGCAACCAGCCCAGCACCACCGTGATGTATTACTGAGCAGCAGTAGCAGGACTGATGACCATGGCAATGAGGAGCCAAAGCAGGACACTAATGTCAAGAAGGCAAAGAGGCCAAAGCCAGAATCTCAGGGAATCAAAGCCAAGAGGAAGCCAAGTGCATCTTCCAAACCTTCTTTGGTTGGAGATGGAGAAGGTGCCATCCTCTCCCCAAGTCAGAAACCTCATATCTGTGATCACTGTAGTGCTGCTTTCCGAAGCTCCTATCACCTGCGGAGACATGTCCTCATTCACACAGGAGAAAGACCTTTCCAGTGCAGCCAATGTAGTATGGGTTTCATTCAGAAATACCTACTGCAGAGACATGAGAAAATTCATAGTAGAGAGAAGCCCTTTGGATGTGATCAGTGCAGCATGAAGTTTATTCAGAAGTACCATATGGAGAGACACAAGAGGACACATAGTGGAGAAAAGCCATATAAGTGTGACACTTGCCAACAGTATTTTTCAAGGACTGATAGATTGTTGAAGCACAGGCGCACATGTGGTGAAGCCATAGCGAAAGGATCCGCTAGTGCAGAACCTGGGTCATCAAACCATAACAATATGGGAAATCTGGCTGCATTGTCTCAGGGAAATACAAGTTCTTCAAGGAGAAAATCGAAGTCAAAAAATATAGCTATTGAAAATAAGGAACAGAAGACTGGTAAAACAAATGAATCACAAATTTCAAATAATATAAACATGCAGAGTTACTCTGTAGAAATGCCTACTGTGTCTTCCAGTGGAGGCATAATTGGCACTGGTATAGATGAATTGCAGAAAAGGGTGCCAAAATTGATCTTCAAGAAAGGAAGCAGAAAGAATACAGATAAGAACTACCTTAATTTTGTGTCACCATTACCAGACATAGTTGGACAGAAATCCTTGTCTGGGAAACCAAGCGGCTCACTTGGTATAGTATCAAATAATAGTGTGGAGACCATTAGTCTTCTCCAAAATACAAGTGGCAAACAAGGTCAAATAAGTAGTAATTATGATGATGCCATGCAGTTTTCAAAGAAAAGAAGATATTTACCAACTGCCAGCAGCAACAGTGCCTTTTCTATAAATGTGGGACATATGGTCTCCCAACAGTCTGTCATTCAGTCTGCAGGTGTCAGTGTTTTGGACAATGAGGCACCATTGTCACTTATTGACTCCTCAGCTCTCAGTGCTGAAATTAAGTCTTGTCATGACAAGTCTGGAATTCCTGATGAGGTTTTACAAAGTATTTTGGATCAATACTCCAACAAATCAGAAAGCCAGAAAGAAGATCCTTTCAATATAACCGAGCCACGAGTGGATTTACACACCTCAGGAGAACACTCAGAATTGGTTCAAGAAGAAAATTTAAGCCCAGGCACCCAAACACCTTCAAATGATAAAACAAGTATGTTGCAAGAATACTCCAAATACCTCCAACAGGCTTTTGAAAAATCCACTAATGCAGGTATTACTCTCGGACCTGGTTTCCAATTTGTCAGTTTGTCTTCACTTCTCTACAACCACACTTTATTTCCAGAAAAACAAATATACACTACGTCTCCTTTGGAGTGTGGTTTCGGCCAATCTGTTACCTCAGTGTTGCCATCTTCATTGCCAAAGCCTCCTTTTGGGATGTTGTTTGGATCTCAGCCAGGTCTTTATTTATCTGCTTTGGATGCTACATATCAGCAGTTGACACCTTCGCAGGAGCTGGATGATCTGATAGATTCTCAGAAGAACTTAGAGACTTCATCAGCCTTCCAGTCCTCATCTCAAAAACTGACTAGCCAGAAAGAACAACAGAAGAACTTAGAGTCCTCAGCAAGCTTTCAGATTCCATCTCAGGAGTTAGCTAGCCAGATAGATCCTCAGAAAGACATAGAGCCTAGAACAACGTACCAGATTGAGAACTTTGCACAAGCATTTGGTTCTCAGTTTAAGTTGGGCAGCAGGGTGCCAATGACTTTTATCACTAACTCTAATGGAGAAGTGGACCATAGAGTAAGGACTTCAGTGTCAGATTTTTCAGGGTATACAAATATGATGTCTGATGTAAGTGAGCCATGTAGTACAAGAGTAAAAACATCTACCAGCCAGAGTTACAGGTAAGGTCCCAAAGTGACCAGGCTGGGGGGTCTTCTAATGTAATTTTGTTTTATTTTGAGAACACTGCCATTGGAATGTTTCTACACGATCCTATTAAGAATAATGTAATGCCCTTTCAATGCAACTTTTCATATTTAGTTTATTTTGTTAGCGTGATTTTAGCTCTGTTTGTATTATGATTTTTAATCCAAATCAATAGTTTAAAAATAGTTTGACATTCAAAGTGACAATGTTTAGCAATCAAATTTACATGTATAGATTGTCAGGGAATAGCCCAAAAGTTTTAAATGCAAAAAAAATAAAAAAATAAAAAAATAAAAAATAAGAGAATTA